CAGGTGACAGTGGTCACCCCTTGTTTCGAGCTGCAGCAGCCCGGGGCGTGTGGTAAGTACCTCCATGGGTCCGGGCCGCGATGTCGGCCAGGACCTGTGGGATGAAACTGGACTGAGCCGGCTCCCTGCCTTGCGGTGCCTGTTCTGTGCACACCTGCTTTATTTTGGGGGTCTCATCCATGTCCTCTGTTCCACTGCACCCGGTGGGGCTGTGGGGGTGCCTTGAGACGCCCTGTAGTCCCAGCCACCTGTGTCTCCTCCGCAGCAAGGTGATGTGCTTCCACCCCTGGTCGGACCTGACGCTGCCCCTCATGTCCCTGGCAGAGATTCGGGCTGTCATCGACGCGTGGGCAGAGCTGGCGGCCGAGCTGGGTGCCTCCTACCCCTGGGTGCAGGTCCGGGACTGGTGGGGCTTGCCCTTCTCTCCCTGCCTTGGGGGTCTTGGGTGGAGGCGTGGGGCCAGCTCTGGGTGCTCTGGCAGCACCTGGGGTTGGGACTATCCCAGTTGTGTGTGGGTCTCCTGTTCCTATCTCGTGCCTCCCTGAGCCTTTCCAGGAGGGTGTGAGGCTCTGCTCTCCTGCGGGATGCTTTCCGGGTGTGCCAGGGACACCACGGCAGCCAGCACCAGGCTGGGACCTGCTGGCTGGACCCCCTTCTCCCACTGAGAACAAGGGAGCGATGATGGGCTGCTCCAACCCCCACCCCCACTGCCAGGTGAGGATGTCCCACCCGTGACCTAGCTTAACCGTGAGTCCCTGCGGGTGACCCTACAACAAAGCCAGGGGATATGTGAACAGGAATCTCCCCCCCGCTCTGGTCCCAAAGCCTTCTGGCCCCATGCCTATCCTGTCACCTCCCCTCCTGGGGACTGTCCCTTACGGCTGCCACACGTTGGACTCTCCACCTGGTGGCAGCACGGACCTGCAGATGGGCAGCGTGGCTGGGGCACCCCTGCAAATGCGGGGTACCGGTAACCCAGCTCTGTGCCCCGATGCCTCTCCCAGGTGTGGGCCAGCAGCTTCCTTCCGAACGAGGCACGACTGGAGGACCAGACCCAGCGGCAGCACCTGAGCCAGCACGGTGTGCCCATGCTGTTGGAGTACGCTGAGCAGGAGGCTCACCGAAAGGTGAGGACATGGCATCGTCCTCTCCCTGGGAGCTGGATCAGTGCTGGGGGGGACAATCCCCTAGCCCCTAAGAGCAGGGGCCCCAGGAGTGCCCATCGCCAGGGCGTCAGGGCTGCAGGTGTCCCCATCAAGCACTGTGTCCTGCAGGAGCGTCTGGTTGTGGAGAATGCGGACTGGTTGGTCGTGGTGCCGTACTGGGCCACCTGGCCGTACCAGACCCTGCTGCTGCCCCGCCGCCATGTTTGCCGCCTCCAGGACCTCCATGAGGGCGAGAGGGACAGTAAGTGGATCTGCACCTTGTTAGGCTCTGTCCCCTGTCCTTTGGGCTCGGCCCTCCTTAGGAGGCAGCTCTGTGGCAGCCGTGCTGGTGCTGGAGGGTCCGTGTCCCCTTCAAGTGCGAGGCTGCCAGGCTCGGCTTGCAGAGGGACTGGCACCTCTGTTTTGCCAGGACAAGAGCTGGGTATCCAGGCACTATTGGGGGGACTAGTGTCCTTTTTTGGGTGATGAAGTACATCATGCCTCATACTTTTGGGGTGCTGGCAGATGAGGAATGGGGGCTTATCCTGTCATGTTGCTCAGGCTGTCTGCATGGGTGGGGAGGGGGAAACTGGCAAGTGCATCCCTCCTGCCTGTCACTGATGTCCACCCAGGGAGGGGTGCTGAGGGTCCCCCCCAGGCCGAGCGTGCTGCCTGCCCTTGGAGGGGGCTGACCAGCTTGGGGTGCGACTTCCCGGCACTCCCCTGCAGGCCTGGCCTCCATCATGCAGAGGCTGCTCATCAAGTACGACAACCTCTTTGAAGTCTCCTTCCCCTACTCCATGGGCTGGCATGGTGAGTGGCGTGGCTGGGGGACCCCCACAACCCTCTCAACCGTGTCCCCATCCCCTCCCTGGGGCTCATGCAGTGCCTGCACCCTCGGCAGGAGCCCCCACGGGCTCCTACCTGCAGGAGGACTGTGGGCACTGGCAGCTCCACGCTCACTACTACCCACCGCTGCTCCGCTCTGCCACTGTCCGCAAGTTCATGGTGGGCTACGAGATGCTGGCACAGGCACAGCGGGACCTCACCCCGGAGCAGGTGAGCACAGCTCAAGGGTAGGGGTGGGATTGTGATGAGACAGGGGGTCCAGTGCCAGGGCTGTCCCCGGGACTGGCTGCTGGCAACCCCTTGTGCTGCGCCTTGCAGGCGGCCGAGCGCCTGAGGAGCCTCCCTGAAGTGCACTACAGGCAGAAGGCCAAGGAGATGCCATGATGGGGAGCAGCGGAGACAGCCCTCAGCTGTGTTTGGTGAGGCCAGGGAGAGGAGTCAGCTGGGGGTGCTGAGAGCTGAGGACTAGGAACTCATCTCACTTGTGAGCCCTCTGGTCTCTCAGCTTCTCCTGAGCCTTGTCGCAGCTTGGCCCATTTCAGGTACCCCAGTCCTAATCCTGTGGCATCCTCATGCAGGCGATGCTGTTCTGTCTCCTTCCCCATCCCAGGCTGTGTCTTCCACCTCTGTAGCGTGCTCCTACCACCACTAAAGGGCTTACTAACCTTACCAGTCCAGTCTTACTGGTGCAACTGGGAGTGCTCCCTGCCCCGTGGAGGGGCACAGCCCCCCCGCCCCCGGCCAATAAAAACTGGAAGCAAAGTACCTCTGCCTGTGCCGTTGTGGCTCTTGGCCCTGGGTGGGAGGTTTGGAGTCTCTGGTGGGGATAACACTGGGGGCTGCAGGGGACGTGCTGGCAGCCCCGTGCTGCTTGCTGCTGTCCTGGTCTCTGCGTTGCCTCCTCTTCCTCCCTGGGGGGAGCTCTGAGCCTGTCTCTGAGCGCTGCAGGCTCAGGGAGGAGTGGGAAGCGGGGAGGAATTGATGTCGCCCAAAGTGTAGCCAGCTCCTGGGAGGGGGCTGAGACCTGGCAAACTTGCTGCATGGAGGCTGCTGGCTGGGATGCTCGGCCCTGGAGCTGCCCCTCTTCCTCTTCTCTACCTGGGGCTGCTGGGCCCAGGATGCAGCAAGGTGCTGGTTCATCACTAGTCCGGCGGCTGCAAGGGGGTCCAGCTCTGCTCGTGGTGCTGCTACCCCCTTTCCCTATGCCCACCCATGGCATGGGGCAGCAGCAGCCTGGTCCCTGGGCTGGGGGGATGCTGCAGCCAGCTCTGTGCTCTCCCCGCCCCTGCAGCCGCTTCCCAAAGGAAGCCTTGGACAGTGATGCCTCATAGCTGATGTGGCAAGGATGCCCAACACCATCTGCCATCACGTCTTCGCACAAATAGTTTTTATTTGTCACTAAAGAGCCATTCTCGTAACTCCTTAATGAGGCCCCTATCCCTGTCAAGTCTGTGCGTGGGCTCCTGGGGGCTAGAAATACCTTGCGAGGAGAGAAATGCTCTCCTTCTACCTGCAAGACAATTTGTTGGGATGGCTGTTCCCCTCCTGCCCCGTCTGTTCATCGCTCCCCCAGCCATATCCATGGGGCTGAGGCAGGGAGAAGGGCCTGGCCAGCATGAGGCTCAGAGCCAGGCTGGATGTGGCCCTCCTATGTGCAGGTCCCATCTTTCTCCCTGATCTCCCCATCATAGGGCCCACAAGCCATCCCACCATCCAGCCTTAGGGGTCCTCAGATGCCCAAGGGTTTTGGGGAAGAGGTGGTGGGTTTTGGAATGACCCTTGAGTTTGGAGTCATCACTGTACACAGCATCCCCCTGCACGGCATGGCAGGTACCCAGTGCAGAATCTGGCCTCTTGCAAACTGATTTCTTCTCTCCTGGGACCATCTCCATCACAGCCTCCATTCATTCTCATCGCAACAAGTGCCTTAGCGCCAACCTCCGAACTTCCCTGCTCTTGCCCAGGGCCCTGGAAAAGCGGCAACAAATTGGCTTAAATGTGGGAATCCAGATTGGCGTAATTAGCCGCTGAACCAGTTGTAACGAAGCTAGTCATCTCCCTGTACGCGCAGTTAGCTCTGATTTAATAGCCCACTGGCTCCCAGCCTGGGCTGCAATGCCTCGGCCCGGGGCCGTAAATGAAACTTGCAGTAAGTCAAGCAGTATTAAACTTTACAGTCGTCGTTTTTAAAAATGAGACACTCTCTCTCTAATAAATCAGAGCAAGTGGGATTGTAAATATCGAGGCAGGATCCATATTGCTTAATTAAACAGTGCCTAATGAACAGCCTGTTTGTTGTGTTGTGATTTAGGATGGAGCTGGGGAAGCGGCGCGTGCTGAGGAGTGCTGCTGCCCGTGCTGGGGTGACCTGCCTGGCAGGTACCAGCTGCTAGAGTTTAACTGCTGCTAAAATAGCTCAGAAACGACCTGAGAATTAATTTTATTTTTTTTTTTAGTTGAAAAATAAATCCCTCCCCCCAAAAAACTATCTGAAAGTTCAGGGTGGAAGTCAGCAGCAGGTGGAGGAGGAGCAGGGGGTACAGCTGGGTGTGAGAGCTGGACCCTGGCTGCACTGAGCCCCTCCCTCATGACAGATTCACCTCCTCTTGCCCCACTATTTTTAACTTGTGCAAGGGGGTATGAAAGGCTGGAAAGGAGCAATGAGCCTTTCCTGTGGCACAGGGAGACATCGGGCTAGTACGAAGAGCTGCTGGGGGTGCAAAACCATTGCAATTCATAGGAACCATCACTACTGTGCTGTAAAGCCCCAAAGCCTTTTGTGTTTTGGTAGTTATGGTCCATTTGTAATCAAAAAGTGATTTATGGTGAGGAGATTGAAAATGTCTATCTGGGTGCAGGATGGTGGAGTGAAGGGGCTGTGGGGCACCCAGCCGTTGCTTCTGACCTAGAGCATCAAAGGGAAACAGGCCCATTGGGATTACATGTGAGGATGTGCCTTGATGCTGTTTCACTTCTGCAGGAGAGCTGTTGGACATCATCCCAGGAAAAGTGCCCTTGTGGTGGGTCGCCCTTGCCCTGAGCCCCCGGGCGCAGCATCAGGGCAAATACATCTTCCATAATCCCTGTGCTGAGCTGCTCTGGAAGGACGTGCAGGGCAGGTGATGGTGGGAGTCAAGCGAGCTGAGCCGAAGCTCAAGCACAGAATGAATGCATTAAAAATGCGCTGAGGTCCCATGGAGGAGTTTGGCCCCACTATGGTGCATGAACAGGGCTGTGATGGGTTAGGAAAAGGCCATGGTGCTTCTGCGCTGGGCCAGCATGTCCTGCACTCTGCGAGGAGCAAGGGATAAGCCCAGCAGGGAATGTGAAGATGTAGAGACACTTGAAGAGGAATGGCTAGGAATTTCATGTCATTTCCATTGCATTTTCTGATGCCACTGAAACAAATGGATCAGTCTACCAAGGGATGGGATTTCCCCAGGGCTGCTGGGGCTCTGGCTTGACTGAGACAAACCAATGTCCTTGCCCAGGTTGTAGCAGTGCCTGTCTCCGTCGTCACCCCTGTCCTGCATGTTTGCAGACCTGGAGCATCCCCAGCTCTGACACTGATTCCTTCTGTGGTCACGGGTGAGTGCTGGGGTGCTGCTCTGGGATGCTGCCCCGGTGCACAGAGACCCTTTGGTGCGAGCACTCAGTGATGGAGGGTAGCTGCTGGAGGCACGTTTGTCACCTTTGATTACATGTCCATGTCCTAGGCAGCTGCCAAAGCCTGCAGAGCTGCAGACCTGCTGCAGATCCAGGGTCCCCAGTCCTGCCCACCCCTCTTCCTCTCCTCCCTGCCTTGCAGCGCAGGTGAGACCATAAATATTGAGCAAAGGAAGTTAATCTGTGACCAGAGTGTTTTAATCAGAAAAAAATAGTATTAGTCCAGGCCTGCTGGCTCCTGCCAAACTGCAGTTTTACTGTCCCTCCTGGTACTGGGTTTATGGCTGTCATTTCATTCCAGTTTTACTGTTGTTTTTGCCCTTATAGTTGAGTTTCTCCTTGCCTACTACTGCTTGTGACTGAATGGGACTTTTAGGAATGGTATAAGGAAGAAAACAATAGATTTTTAGGGAGGAAGAAGGGAAGGAAGGGAGGAAGCAAGGGAGGGAGGCAGAGAGGAAGGAAGGAAGGAAGGAAGAAAGGAAGGAAGGATGAAAGGAAAGAAGAAATGGAGAAAGAGAGGGAGAGAGGAAGGAAGGAGGGAAGGGAGGGTAACAGGGAAGGAGGAAAGGCTAAATCCCTCCTGTTTCTATCTAGAAGACGCCATCAGGCATTCAACATGAAAACAATTAAAAATTTTAAGCAGATGCTAGACACCCTGGTGCCCTGCAGCAAGCAGTTCTGTACTGCGGGGAGATCTGCTATGCCAGGAGAACGAAAAACAAAACCCAAATCCCTTTTAAATCTTGGCTTAGACAGACACACAGGAGCATGGGAGCAACCTCTGGGGCAGCAAACAGCACCCAGCTTGTCCTAGGCAGCCTGAAGCACCTTCCCCGGGCTCAGCAGCTGCTTTGGCAGGGACTTTCCAAAGGGCTGAGACCAGCAGGAAACAATTTTGGAGGTGACTTACCCATGCCTCAGCCAGCTGGTGTTTTTTCTTTTGCTGATGGTCGCTGAAACCTCCCTGCAAGGCATTTTCAGAGCCCTTGGGGACCATGTGTCGTGGGAGGACTGCTGGTCCCAGGTGGACACAATGGGCTGTCTGGATGCTGCCTTGGGTTGTCTGGATGCTGCCTGCCAGCAGCCGAGCTCCAAGGGCTCTGCATGGGCTTTAAGACAGCAGTTCCTGGGGTGGAATTTAATTTCTTTATAATCTGAGACATACAGGTAATGAAATACCATCACACATCAGCATCCAGGTGGTCACTAAGCAGTAGATTTGCCCTGCTCCCCCAAACTTCCTGCACATGTGGGGTTGGGGGGGTACCCTGGAGTTTGGCTCTCAGCAATGGGGATCCGCCATTGCATGTGATTTTGAGCCTTTCTCCCATCCTGGGACTCCATCCCGGGGTTGGGGGTCTCCATTTAGAGCAAGAGGAACCTGAAGAGGTTCTGCTGGATTCACGCCCAACACAACTAGCTGGGGAGTGGGGGGAGCAGATGCAGAGGGGAGGGCAGGTGGCTGGTCTGAGCTAGGGGCAGTGAAAATGCTCAGCCTCAGAAGGAGGTTATCCACCAGTGAGGGACATGCTGGAAAAGGCAGGAGCCCTCACAGTGCCCAAGATTGGTGTGAAATCCAGCTAGCTCCTGACTTGGCTGAGATTGGGTACCCTGGCTGTGCCTGGCACCCCTGTGCTGCTGGAGCCAGCTGTGAGAGCTCACAAACATCTGTGCCTGCCTTGTGGCCACCGGGAAGGAGAGATCCCCCTTCATCC